ATACCCAACTGGTATGAGTTCGGGTTATGAGTACTATATAAAATAAATTTATTTACACACATAACCATGTACGTACGTTCTCATTTACACATAATCTATTTTAATAAATAGCGTTTTTCGGACGCTATTAATAATCGTTTTTCTTGTAGTGTTTATGACGGATACGGGACCGTAATATTTTTATTTCACGTATACGTGACAGGTTATGGGACAAAGAATTTATGACAGATACAAGACGGGATAGGTTTCCCGTTCCAAAATAGTTACGCCTAGCTAATATACATCAAATAACCCAAACTAAAACCGAATCCATATCCTATTTAACATCTGTAATCAAACTGTTAGAAATGTTTTGATTAGTTTAGAAAACAAACACATAACATCACTTCACTTTTGCAACTAAATTAGTACGGATCTTAAAATATAATTATGCACTTACGCAACTGAATTTCGTTCATTACTCTAACTTTATCTATACTATTACGAAATTCAATAATACAACAAAATATTTTATATTCTTAAAACCTATATAACAATTTCAATAATAATATATATGCACGTACATGTAGATCCATATCTAATACACTAAAATATATATCGTAAAAACAACAAAATAATTTATATTGAATTAAAAGTTGTTATAAATTCTTTTAAAATATGAAATCTCGCATGTAAGTGCGGGTCATGATCTAGTGATTATTTAAAAAAACTTATTATGTTTGACTGAACTAAAAATATATATAATTGAATTATCATCTAAACAAATTAGAGCAGCCTCTGATGTTGGAAAAGAAGAATAAGAAAAAAAATTAGAATGTCTTTTCATTTTAGTAAATGTCTGATAGCTTTAAAAATATGTAAATTATTCTAATAAAAATAAATGTTTTTTTTTCAAAAAAATAACCAATGGAGAATCACAAAACAGTTTTTACTAATTAAGTAATTTCTGTTAAATATTTTTCTTTTGAATTAAAAAGTCATTTATAAACCTATATGTATGTATTTTATTAAAAGGAACAAACAAACATTGTAAACTAAAAAAGTTTCAATGACAAGAGAAAATGAGGACAGTTGAAAGTTGAAACAGAGATCAGAAGAAGCACACAAAGCTTTATATACACTCCCCACCCACTTAAGAGTAGTTTTCTCATGTCAAAGCAGAAGATAAGTTGTTTTTTTATACACCAAATCTCACTTACACAGACCACAAATCAAACCAATCAAATTGCCAAACATTACCAATCAACCATTTTACACCGGAGGTAAAAAAGAAACAAGTAAAAATATATTCTACTCTTCAGTGTCAAACTTATTTATTTGGTTTCAAAAGATCTTTCATCACCTTAATCTGACGACAATGCAAGAAATATCGTCTTTACTGTCTCTTCTCAGCGCTTCGGTTGTTAGTTCTTTCGCTGCTTTCAGTGGATCTTTGATTCTTCTCGCGATATCAATCGCCTCTTGGTTAGCCATCACCTACACATTTACACATAAAAACCGTTTAATCCAAAAACGCCAACCAGTTCCTTCACAACAAAAGAACAGCACCATTGTTTACCTTCCATAGACCGTCACTAGCAAGAACAAGAACATCTGTGTGATCATCTATAGATGAATCTTTAACGTCTGGATCTGACCGTAGATGTGTTTTGAGGCTTTTGTCCCCAAAAGCACGAGAAACCGCTAGCTGTCCGTTAACCCGAGGGACATCTCCTGAAAAAACAGAACAAAAGACATGTTTTGGGATCTGATGTTTGGATAACTTTTTTCTTGATTTGATGCGTTTGGTATTATCATCTAAGATTAACCTGGCATGTTCGATACAAAGCCTCCTCTATCCTCGATGCTCAACCTTTCAGTGTGCGGCTCATGATCGATAGTCATCTGTATAGCCTGACCTCCTTGAGATAAAACCGCCCGGGAATCACCCACATTTGCCACCCACAAACGCCGTCCATTCATCAGAATAGCGGTTACAGCGGTTGAACCACCACGGCCTAAGTCAGAAGAATGTGACAGAATGGCTTGGTCTGTCTTCTCATAGGCAGCAATTATTGATCTGTGAGGATCATACCTAAACTGCTCCTGAGCACACACACGGTTTTCAATCATAAAAAAAATGTTAACAATAGGAACAAACACGAGCCAGTAGATGCAGTGAAGAGCCTATATAGTAGTGAAAATTTCTACACACCTCTTTGAGGATATTGGAGAACAAATGCTTCTGTAGATAAGCAGGAACACGTTCACCCAAATGACCATCGTAGATTGCAAACAAACCGAGCTCGCTACCGTCTATTTTCACGAATTTAGACACATGATAATCCTCCATTGGATGATTAGCTTTCCCTTTCACTAAGCTGTAACCGAATTTGATCTCGCCGTCGCTATTTTTCCCTTTTCCAGAACTAGTTGACGCCCTCCCAACCACAAGCTACACCAACAAACAAAAACAAATTCATATCTCAAATTGTTGTTCAAGAACATCCAACTCCATCACACAGAAGTAGACACAAAATGTTTAAGACCTCACTTAAACTCAACAAGTAGCATCTTAACCACTTAATGTCCTTACACAATGACCAACAAATTTAGTTCGATTTCTATCTAAAACTTAGCTTTAACCATCAAAGACAAGAAGAATCAATTTAACAAGTCAATACTATCATAAGTCGTTATCATAAAACCAAGATAAAGAGAAAAAACAAGATTTGAGATTACGTACATCGTAGTCTGAAGAACCGAAGCAACATAACTTCGCCATGAGAGGATAGATGTCTGATTTAAAAAACCAACACCTCTTCTCTTTCAAGATTTCAAGATCCTGCAAACACTTTGAAACTTTTTTCATAAACCAAGAAACAAAAAAAGTCCTTTTTTATAAAACAAAACACGAAATCAGAAAGAACCCACACAAGGATTACCTCAAAATCGGAGAACCCAGATTCCAAAAACCATAAAGAAAGGATAATTTTGGAGTCTACCAGTACGCGGCTTGAGAGCAATACCGTGACGAAAGGGTTATTGATAGACTCTGCAAATGTACTTTATTCAAAAGTCTTCGATAAAAACCACGGAATTAGTGGAAGACGACGACGACGACGACGAGTAGACTTCAATTTTTGCTGTTTTGGTTTTTTTTTTTCCATTAAAAATGAAAAACAAATCTCTTTCCTTGTTATTGGGTTTCGTTGGTTGACTTTTTTGCCGTGTCTTAAAAGCAGAGTCGCTCTGGCTTTGTCCTCTTGTTTATACCCATTTCAATAATTAAAAATTGGAAAAAATATTATTTAAAATCATCGGTTATCCATTTTTCTTGATTTAAATCATAACCTCTTGTATCTAGTAAATCATAACCTCTTGTATCTAGTAATTAAAATGCTTTATTTCAGGTTAATTTTTAACTAAATCATTAATATTTACTAATAAAGCCAATTCAAACACATCGTAACTAGTTTAACGGAGTAATCAGACTATGCTATATGTCCGTTAATTAGCTAAACGACTTCATTTTCAATCAAAAGAAAACCCTCCACATCGTTAATTAGCTTTCTCGATTTTTAGAGTTCGTAATTGATTTGGGATGTTTTTTTAGATGAAAACAACGTCGTTTAGCTAATTAACGGACTTCTTTAACGGACACATAATTTCGTCTGATTGCTCCATTTACCTAGTAAATGATATGTTTTAATTAGCTTTATCAACGAAAATTAGTGATTTATCATTAGTTGTCCATTTCCGTTGATTTAAAGCTTGAACTCTGGACATATGATTAAAATATTTAATTTTAGGTTCATTTTCGATTTAAATGACCTTTTCTTTTTAAAAATTAAACTGTATATCAATTTTATAATATTTAGTGACGTTCATTATTACAACTAAGATTCTTTTCTTAGAAATTATTAATCTAAGAAGTCCTCAATTCTCAGTCCTGTAAAATATTCTTTACAAGACGGAAGAAAAGAAAAAAAAAAGACTCTTAATTAAGTTATGGTACGTTTCATATTAATTATAATTTAATTATATGGTTCAAACTTTAAATATTAAAATATATATATATATTTAGTGTATTTTTCAAATATCACAAAAACAAATTCGTGGAAAATATTTGGTTTATATGGAATTTGTTTTTCTAATTTTTTTGTTTGATAATAAATAGTTTAGTACATGATTCTTCACTAAAATAATCTAATCTGATTTTGTCTCCGCTAGAAACAAAATATTTGAAAAACATAAGAGTAAAAAATATCTTAAAGATAAGTAGAAAGTTTTTTTTTTTTTTTTTTTGGATAAATTACTATTCTGTTTACTTTACATCTGGATTTTCTGTATATAATTGTTAATTCAGATGGAATTAGTCAAGGAAACTTGGTCCGCCAAATTAAATAATTTGAAAAGTAGACCTTTTTCAATTTCCTGAATATGAAAATGATAGATAAAAAAATTATGTAAAATATTTAATTTTAGGTTCATTTTCGATTTAAATGACCTTTTCTTTTTAAAAATTAAACTGTATATCAATTTTATAATATTTAGTGACGTTCATTATTACAACTAAGATTCTTTTCTTAGAAATTATTAATCTAAGAAGTCCTCAATTCTCAGTCCTGTAAAATATTCTTTACAAGACGGAAGAAAAGAAAAAAAAAAGACTCTTAATTAAGTTATGGTACGTTTCATATTAATTATAATTTAATTATATGGTTCAAACTTTAAATATTAAAATATATATATATATTTAGTGTATTTTTCAAATATCACAAAAACAAATTCGTGGAAAATATTTGGTTTATATGGAATTTGTTTTTCTAATTTTTTTGTTTGACAATAAATAGTTTAGTACATGATTCTTCACTAAAATAATCTAATCTGATTTTGTCTCCGCTAGAAACAAAATATTTGAAAAACATAAGAGTAAAAAATATCTTAAAGATAAGTAGAAAGTTTTTTTTTTTTTTTTTTGGGATAAATTACTATTCTGTTTACTTTACATCTGGATTTTCTGTATATAATTGTTAATTCAGATGGAATTAGTCAAGGAAACTTGGTCCGCCAAATTAAATAATTTGAAAAGTAGACCTTTTTCAATTTCCTGAATATGAAAATGATAGATAAAAAAATTATGTAAAAAAAAGTTCCAAACATTAAATAAGTATAGTCATCATAATCATAGAACAACAATATAAGCAAAGTACATATGTGTAGTAGATGCGGCCAAGTGAAAACTATGACAATTTGTTTCACCCAAATTATTACAATGGAAAAGTGACTAGTCATCAATCATCATCATCATCATCATCACTGCTAAGTACTTCAACCTCAGTGTGTAGATCTCCATGTCTCGAACTCTCCAATTGCGACCAAACCTCTCTCATGCTTGGTCTCTTCTTTCCGTTAAGATTTAGACACCTTTTCGCAAGGTTTGCTATAAGCATGACTTGTCCCAGCTTACAGTCATTCCTTATTCTAGCATCAATAATGTCGTAAAGTCTCTTCTCTTTTAGGGCAAGATTGAAGTAAGTGACCAATGTTCTGTTTTCCCCAAACCGTTGGAAAGCAAACGGTTTTTCTCCAGTCATTAGCTCAACAAGCACAACTCCGAAGCTGTACACATCACTCTTTTCTGTAAACTGGCAGGATTGAAAGTACTCAGGATCAACATATCCTGTAGTACCTATAACCGCGGTTGTCAGGTGAGTTTGATCAACGCGTATCGAGCGTGAGGTTCCGAAATCCGAAACCTTAGCTCGGTAATTCTCATCTAACAAGATGTTTGATGATTTGACATCTCTATGATAAATCGGAGATGCAGCAGCAGAATGAAGGTATGACAAAGCTCCCGCTGTATCTATGGCAATACGCAGACGTAACTCCCACGTAATTAACGTGTGATCATCCTCTTCATGAAGAAGTTGGAAAAGATTGCCATTTGGGATATATTCATAAACAAGTAGGGGTACCTCCGTTTCTAGACAACATCCGAGTATATTCACGATGTTGCGGTGATTGATCAGAGAGAGTATGGAAACTTCATTTATGAACTCTTCGACCTTATCTTGATCCACAAGCTTAGATTTTTTTACCGCTACGATCCTACCATCAGCAAGCATTCCTTTGAACACTGTTCCTTGCCCACCATGACCAAGCACTCTGTTTACACTGAAGCTCTCTGTAGCTTTCTCCAATTCTTTAGAGCTGAATACTACTGCTTTCTCTACGTAGCCTTCTCTTGAGTCCAATTGTTGCTGTAACAAAAGACCTCCATTTCGCTTAAAGAACTTTTCTCTGCGCTTGGTCTTTCTATACTTCTTAATAAATATGTATAGCCATATTCCAACGCCCACCATTAACACGCTCAAACCGATGCTGACCCCTACAAGGTTTATGAACCAAATAAAATTTAGTGATTAATAAAGTTTATCAGTTCTAGATAAAATTTGAAGAACATGTTACCAAAAAAACATTTATTTTTATTTTATTTTTTTTAACAAAAAATTAAAACTAATTATAGCCTAAACAAATGAACTAATTCAATACCACATCATCAGTTGTATTACACATTTATTAATTTTATGAAATTAACTAATTTAAGAATTTTTTTGGAGAATATATAACCAGAAAAACAGATACCCTAAAAACCTCATTTCTAAAACATATTTTTAATTTTTATTTATAACAACTACACGAAGTTAAACAAACTAAGTATCCCACATCGTCAACAGTCACAGACATTTTTTTTTTGTAATAAATGAAGTTAACAAAGTCAAGGTAAAATTTAACAACATGCTGTATTAGCCAAAGATAGAATAAAATAACCAAAAGCTAATTTCTAAAAAAATTATCCCCTGCAACAATAGAATTATATTTATAAAAAAAATCGATTATAGATATTCTAATTAATAAAATACTTAATACTTTAAACATTTTTAAAAAAGTTTTTTTACGAATATATTTGAATGCCAACAGCATCATTAAAACTCATTCATGCGCATTTACCATCAAACTTATTATACACTCAAGAAACAGTGTACGAATTTATTTTAATAAAATCAGAGTATTTTACAGTGATTAAGTAATTTATTTTATAATTAATTAAGGCATTTTTTACCCTTTTAAACGAATACATAGTGTCATATTGTAATTTGTAATTATATTTTTACATTTGAAATTTCATTTCGTAGTATCATATCATAATGTGCTGAAATCTTACATTTTATTTTTCATAAAATAACACTTAATTTTTTTTTTTTTATAATTTAAGTTTAATCTACTGTAAAGTGTATGATCTTCCCTTTTATTTTCTGGTTATCAAAATAGTCAAGCATTAATAAGCTATTTTATTATCAAAATAGTCAAGGTAATTATTAACTAAAAAGAAATCTATATATTATTAACTTAACAAAAATAGTCAAGCATTAAAGTTGTTTAAAACCTTTCCACAATTACTGGATACTATAAAATTTATAATACCTCCCCTAGTATAAAGTAAAAAGGGGCTAGTTTCTCAAGAAAAAGATTAAGATATATCAAAGAAATAGTTTTCAAATGTAAGAAATGGAATGTGATTTGTTTTGAGAGTTTATAATTTAAAAGAGAAAGCAGATTTACCTATATAAATTACGAATGTCTTCTTACTTTTCTTGGTCACGCATTGATATGTACCCGGAGTATTGAGACAAATTTGGTCGCTATTAACACAAACCTCGGGACGTCCATCTTTGCGCTTTTTACATTCATCAATATCTAGCATGAAAAGAAAATTCATGAATCAATAGTAAGATGATGATCTTAAAGGGTAATAATTAGTTTGCTAAATTTGTGCATATATAGATGATTTGAAGAGCTACAAGTAACTAACCTTTGCAGTCGTTTTTAATATATGGGTTACCCTCATAACCATAGATACACGCACACCTTATTTGAGTTGGGAGGTCCCAGTCGCAGTAGCAAGGATTGGTAGTGTTAGAGTCCTCAAAATAATCGCGGCACCCCAAGGATTCTTTAAACGAATCATTTGTTGCCATAGCTTCCCACTTCAGATGAACTGTAGCATATTTCAGAGCGTGAAGCCTTCTCGAATCAGTTCTGTTGCGCCACAGTGAGGGTTGGCCATATTCGTCTGTTACGAACGCGACATTGCACCCTTCTCTTGGGTTGTTACCATGGATGCTCTCTATTTTCACACCTATTACATAACGTCCCTCTGTAGGTGTACTTGCATTGCAACATTCATTGCCTACGCAGGTTGTATTTGCTAAGAATGCATCCATGAGTGTATATAGCCATGGGTCGAATGTGCCACAAGTGCTGATGCATCCAATAATTCTGGGCTCAACATTCGTCAGTGTGGCCTTGTTGTTGCACCCGAAAGCCATGAGGTTGTTTTTGTTGCTGATGGTAAACGGTGTTCCGGTGAAGTTCAAAATCTCTTCCAAGTTTTGTCCGTGGCCGCCAGAACACCCCATCGAAGCTATGTTGGTTTTGATTCGGAGTGATCCATAAAGACTGGAATCTTCCTCGGGTTTTATTGGGCTCGGAAGATCGATTTGGACTACTTCTTTGTTGATCTTACGCAGAAATGGAATGAATTTACGGGAGGAAATTTCAGTACAGTTTATTTCGTACCAATGATTGAGGTAGCAACCGTTTCCTATTCCAAACGGATATGGAATCGAGACGTTTCCACAAAAGCTTTTACAGGAACTTAAAATGGTGAATTCTGCTGAACTATTTTTCAATACAAGTATAAGAAAGAAATGAATCCAGAGTAGACACGTCATTTGCTCTTCTTTTTAGTGGTTTTTTGTTCGTTTTCTTTTTTTTTTTTTTTGTTCGTTTTCTTTATGCTAAGTGTTTTCTTCTTCTTTTTCTCTCTTTTTTTCCACTCTTTATAATTCTTCTGCTTGTGGGTTTTTCGTGAGATCATGCCATGAGGTTGTGTTCGAATTTTCTATCGACATTTAAAGAACGTTGAAAAAAGCCAAAATCTCTCGAGACATACCACAAGAATACTATGGAAATATGCATCCTCAAACTTGCATGATAAATGTTTTCTTACTAGTACCTAACGACACACGTCATCGTTTAGCTTGTCCACAAGTTAGCGTTTTGAAAATTTTACAAGGGTTATATATAAATGTAAAACCTAGGAAGCACGGAAGCTCCGTCCGTAGTCCGATTCCCGCTTCAGAAGCTAAAACGGAATCGAAAGCTTCAGGAAGCGTCCGGAAGCGTGGTGGAAGCACGATTCCGAAAAAAAGGAAATCGGAAGCATTTTGGAAGCTATGATTCCGTTTTGGAAGCGTTCTATTTTTATGCGATTCTGATTTTGGAATCGTTATTAAGGAAATATTTAGGAATTGCGTGATATATTTTTTATATTTCTTAATTAAATATGAAATTAGAAAACCCTAATTAAGAGAATACCAATCGTGGCTAAATTTCGTCTTTGGCAAAACTCTCCACTCTCCAGTCTCCACGAACTTGACCTAAGAGCAAAGCAAGGTGTTCTTCATTCTCTCACTTTGCCGTAGATTATGATTTTTTACTTGTTACTTGTTAGTGTTAATATAATATTATTCATGTTTTCCTTGAATGAATGCTCTGTTTGTTTATAGTTTTTGAAGATAAGTGGAGAAGTTGCTAATAATTTAATCTCATACCACGAAAGAATAATGATTGCTTACAACAAAAACACTTACAAATTCATACATTCGGCAACAAGAAACAAGATTGCTCCACAAAGAGCAGAAGATTTGGTATTTGTGCATACTAATCTTCGTCTTCTATCTAGAAGGAGTTCTACTTATAAAGATGGTCCTAATCATATGTGGGATGTTGGTGGTGACCAATTTGATTCATTGGATGAGATAAATATTGGAAGACTTGAGTTTGAGGATCTTTCTCTTGATGAACCAGAGATGGAGTCTGTTTTGTTTGCTAATGGTGATGAAAATGAAAAGGAAGACGATGGTCCAAATCTTTGACTTATGCATTATGTTTTTTTTTTTAATCTCTAATCAACTTAATTAAGTATTGGATCTCTTTTATTTAAGACAAGAGTTATTTAATCACATTTAAATTATTTAATCACATTTGATTATATATATATATATATATATATATATATATATATATATATTACACGCTTCCAAAACGTACCCATATCGTAAATTTTTGAAAAAATCGCTTCCACGCTTCCCCGCTTCCCCGCTTCCCCGCATCCGCTTCTGATTCCATGCAACTTAGTGTAAAACCCCAGAAGATTAAATTTAAGAATATGACCTTTCTTTTCTTTTTGTTTAGTTTCTCTCTCTTTTGACTCAAAAAATGCTAAAATATTCTTTTTGCGCGCGCTAATAAACAAAATAACGAGACAACGAATTTAGATTTAGCAGCAAAGTAAGCATTGTTTATTTGACGTCGAGAATACTATTCATCATGTTATTTACTTGATTAACAATGTAAATCAGATTGTATCGCGACATATTTATAATTTATATGGTAAAATCATATTTTTCGTGTAAAACGTTTATTATAAGACTGGTATGAGCTAACTTATATATTATCTTATACCACCGCCGATAATACCATCCTCACCATAAAAAATCGGTAAATATTATCATTGCTACCAGATATAAACATCGAAAAAACTGCCGGAAATGATGTTGAAACAGACGCAACAGTTTATAATTTATCGATATCTATTTTATTATCTCGCTAAGAAATTTGTTATACCCGTAGAGATAGTTTATCAAATTTACAGAAGCTAAGAGAAAAAACTAATAAAAGATGAATTATAGTTAGATACTTAATTTTTCAATTTTCATATTATCCATTTTACAAGCTAAAAATGCACTACTGTTTGACTATAATATTGTAGGTGCAAATAAAAGTCTTTTATCATTAACTCACCATATTTTAGTTACACGTGCCTTGTTGTATTGATTTCCCAAACTTATTTTATAGTCAATGCACCTAGAAAATAGATTACACACTTTACGTTTACAACATCTCCAATGGTTAACATACCTAGAAGAAGTATTAATTTTAAAATATTAATATTCTAGCACAGTTTTATTTTTTAAGCTGAAAGTAAAAAAAGAACTAATTAAAAAGATACAAGTGTAATTGAAAATTCTAATTACTATACTCAAAGTTCGTAAGTAAAAACCTTTGTCTCGTTCTCTCATGCTTTTAATTTCTTTACATTCTCTTATTTTAATGAGAAAGTATCTTAATAAAAAAACTCAAATGGAGGTGCTTTTAGATGCTCAACCAGTAACATATAAAAAAGTAAATCTTCCATATACCAACTTGTTAAAAATATTTATCAAAATAAAATAAAATAGTAACTTCATAATAACGAGAATAAACTCCCCAAAAAAATACTTTTGTTTTTGTTTATTTCCGGTAAAACTTACCAAATTATCGGTTAATAGTATATATTGTACTCCCTCTGTTTCGAAAAAAGTATCGTTTAGGATTATTTTTGCGTTTCAAAATAAGTGTCGTTTTAGATTTTCAATGTAATACTTTGTATAAAATTTTGAATTTAACCTCAAGTTTATAGAAGAATACCAAAAGTCAATTTAAATTTAAAGGGTACAAGAAATTTTTTAATATGTTTTCTTAATTTGTGTGAAAAGTTTATTACTCCCTCCGTTTCGTTTTAGTTGTCTTTTAAGGTTTTTGCACACAAATTAAGAAAATCATTAAATTTTTTGTTTTACCCTTTATTAATATATTTTATAATTTTTTCATTGGTCAAAACATTAAAACATTAATGACAAAACATTAATTTTCACCAAACATTTGCATTGAAAACCAAAAAGGACAACTATTATGAAACAAATTTTTAATCCTAAAACGACAACTAAACTGAAACGGAGAGAGTATGAAACAGATGAAGTATTGTCTAAATTATGTTTAACAACAAGAGCTGGAAAGATGATTGATTAATCTTTTAGAAAACACAATAAGACATATACTGATTAGACAATGGGTCTAAATAATAACAGATATTAAGGAATTGGTGAAGGTGAAAAATACAATATAACGAAGCCTATGCAATTTTAATCGGTTGAATGTGTCGTCTAGGTATCATCTGAAGGCCTAGCCACATGCTTTAGGTAACCAACCATCTATACCACTTTTTAAAACACTGTGTGAGATAATAAATTCTTTAAATTTTTTTGATATTATGATGTTATAATGGATAATAGCAGGTATAAATCTGAAATATATTTTAAATAATGGACCATATAGTGTATTGTGCATATGTATATTTCGATTATATAAAATCACTACATGAACTGAACGGATAAAGATCTGATTTTTGTTTGGGTATTTCAGAAAATTATGAATAATTTTGGATTATTAACTTTTGGTTTAAGAAACTTTTAGTAATTTTGATAACGTTAATTAAGAAGTTTTATATATAATTGATGTAATTTGATTACCTAAAAAACATTGGTTAGATTTATGTTCTAGTATTTTGATTTTTTTGTGTAAAATGTTTAGGTTTCAGTTCAGTTTTTCCGATTAATATTTTAATTATCTTTTTTTTTGTTAAGAGTGTCAATATTTCATTGAAAATAAAAAAATTAGGAGTTATAATGAAGCAAATCCTATAAATTGGTTCCATGGCAAAAGGATAAAAAACATGGAAGCAAAGAAACAATCAGTCATTCGACATCAACAAAAACAATTAAGTTTTCGTAGTCAATGAAGTAATAAAACGATATTGAAAATTCGCCTTGATGAGACAACATGGAGAAAGATAGAAGCTGTCCAACGGCAAGATAGAGTCTTAGTTAACTTTGTGGATAACTTTTGATTTCTTAGGGATTCGCCAATTGCGTGATTCCTCGAAAGTTTATGCCTTTAAACTAATATGGCAGTTATTCTCTTCGACAAAATATTTGGGGGTTGTTTGGATCCGTTGCTATCTCATATGTACTCACTCATTTGGGGATATGAGGGACAATAGACTTGCTCTAAAGAAAGAAAATGAAAATCTATACTATTAATTGGGAAGCATTAGATATAAAATAACTTTATGAAGGGTAGAATATTACAAGGAATGTCATTAGAATTTTTAATTTGTAAGAGTAAACAAAAAGATTTCGTTTAAGGTTAAACTCAACAATTACACATTAAAAAAAACGCGGATCCTGGGTATTTTTCCGGATAAACACGCGGACCCTATGAACGGGTGTCGAGCTACCAGATGGATCTTGGGCTTCTAATACGGATCCGGACGTTGATATAAAATTCGATCCTTGTGAGGGTTAATATTCAATGTGATGCCAAATATTGCACTCCGAGATATTCTGTATCTGTTAAAGAAAGCAATTGCCAAAAATATTAGTTATGATTTAAAGAGAATTCTGTAATCTGTATAACTAACAAATCTTTTTTTTTGGTAATTTGTATAACTAACAAATCTTAATACTTCCGAATTCTAATCTTTGAAGATAAATACAAATAAAAGATAAATCAACTAATATTTGCACGAGTGTTTTTAAGAAAGATACCAATTAAATCAGAAAATATAAGGAACACATACAATTTTCGATTTCATTGTTTTCAGAAAGATCTAATCTCATTTATTATATTTGCCTAATTTAACAATAACACAATATGTGAATTCTATCAAATCGAGCATATTCGATTAAGGTTTGTTTTAAATTCTGATACGTAAATATATTCTCAATTATTCAATGGTTAACCCTAAAAACTATAGCCCTATCTGTTAATAGTATATATACTCTTCTCGATTGACATTTCAGAACTCACAATCATTCAAAGCTTTTTTGCATTTTTCATCTTCTTTTATAGTTTAAACAAAATGGCTATGATGTTTAGCACAAATTTTATGTAATAGGTATCAATAAATATTTCCTCTCTCATCTAATTTTGGTTCTTTACTAATTCACTTCTACTCTAACTATTCTTTTTCTTTATGATTTACAGTTAAAACATGGGAAGCAATGTTTTTCAGAAAAACAGAGAATTATCCAAATCATAGATTTGAAGAGAAGCAATGTTTTTTCCTTTTTCTTGCCTACATTCAAGAAACGTTACAACATCATGAACTAAGGGGGGTGTATTGGAACTAGGATTTTAGAAAATTTTGGGTTTTTATTAAAATCACCTGTTATTGAATTTGTGATTTTAAAACTCTTCTCAAATCCAATGTTATTGAAATTGAGATTTCAATAAAATCACTCACAATCTCTTGTTATTCAAACTATAATTTCTAAACTTGATATCAAATCAACTGTTATTGAAAACACAACTTTGTTTTTTTAAAAAAGCCATAACATTGATTTTGGGAGACTTTGGATACAATTTTACATGAGAAATTCAATTAAAGAAATCACACCTTGAGAGGTGTTATTTGGAAAAAACTTCTTTTAACAAAATAAACATAAGAGAAGTTGTCCTTTCACTTTCTCATTCTCATCGTCAAAAGTCAAAACAAATCTGTCACTTTTTTTTGTTCTTCACTTGCAGAAAAAAACAAAAGATTTCAATGGCAAATCAAATTCATTACCAACAAAATCTCTCTCAGTTTCAAGTTTTTAATTTGAAGTCCTAATACAAAAACATAAACTTTTTTAGAACCACAACACACCATGATTTCTTTATCTTTTACCACAAACAACGTTGAACGTGTTTTGGAACGTGTTGCAGAGAGAATCCAATTTTTCTATTTTTTTGTAAAGCAACGTTGCAAAGAGATCCCAAATTTTCTAGACAATGTTGGAGATAAGTTTTTTTTGTAAATCCAGTTTTCCTATTTTTGTTTTAAAAATCTCACCAAATCATCCAATACTATCTCTTAAATCTCACCAAATAACAAACAAGTATTTCCTTTTCTAAAATGAAAATTCTAACAATTCCACCAAAAGTATCCTAAAAAATCACATAACTTTCTCAAAATCCAAAATTTCCTAAATTCCACCAAATCCACCCAAATCTTTAATTCAATACACCCCCCTAAGTGTTATTTTACTCATTTATTTTCTTTCTCCAAAATCTCAAACGTTATATTTAAAACAGAATTACTTTGTATAACAAAAGTAACAGGTTTTCGTAAGTAAAATTATGTCAACTATTTCATAATCAGTAGCTGTAAAGGTGAAAACTGAATACCAAGCAACTTTTCAGAAAGTTAAGTAGTTTGAATCTATTATATTCTACTTTCAATTTAACATACCAAGAAAATATGAATAGAAACACTAATGTAAAAATAATGTTCCCACTAACCTTTTTACGTATAGATTTCTGGATAGGTCCAATGACAACATTTCTCTTCCCTTCTCCATATTCTTATGTTACTTGCAAATGATGCTTCACCTTAACACATTAATTTTGTTATAAACAAGTTTAAATTTAAAAATACTTCTGAAACAATACAATAAATTTTACTACCTCTAATCTCTAAATTACTACTTTGTTTTTAACATACTAGGGCAAAACTATGTACTATATATGATCTACCTTAACTTAAAGTCAAAAAAAGTAGGTAAATCTAATAAACAAAAAAAATTTCTATCAATTGAGATCTCACTATACATTGAACAAACAAAAAGGAAAATTTTGTCAAGTTTTAAAACATACAATGACAAAAGTAATGATATCTTCTACAATTCTACTAATTCAGAAACAATGACAATAGCTAAATATTATTATGGATTAAACCAAATTTGAATCCTTAACAACTCACTAACCTTTAACATTGCTTCCAGATTCTGTTATGGCTTCTAAACGACATCAAATTTGCCTTCTTTAAAAGACTAAAACTCGAAATTTTTTACTTCTTTGTAAACATGGAACTTTGTATCATCAGGACCATATATATTAAAAACATTATTTGTTTGAATAGAGCCGTAACAGAAAACTTATCTTTGTACATCGTCTTCATTGGGCAAAATCATCATCTTTATAATTATCTGAAATCAATTTAGGAACAAATTAAATGTTAACACTTATCAGGAAACAAAATCGATTGTCAAAATCTATACGCAATCCAATTTTAAACTCTATTAACTCCAACGCTTTCAAGATTCATGTAGATAGATTGAGTTACCCGGTTGAACACAAAAAATTCAGAAAATCAAATTCGGATCTAAACAAAAAATATAATTGACAATACTCACACATGCAAGTTTGGGTTATTCACAGTCATTGTCCAAGATTCTATTAAAATACAGAATTTCAAAGATTGTAAATCGAATCGGAAAATTTTAGAAATAGATTGATTGAAGAAGAATCTTTAAAAACCTTACCTCTGTAGAATTCCGAATCTGAGATGAAAATTTGATAAACGAAGACGTAATAGGTTGATTATCGACAATTTTTTTCATTGATTCAAAGATCGTATCATCTTCTGATTTGTAGGTTTTCGTTAAATGTTCTGCGATAAGACACATATTGTTCGTTCGACAATAATTTGTCCAAAAAAGAAAGAAAAAGAGAATCAATATATTAAATATAAACAAATAAACGAAACCGTGGATCGATTTCAATACTATTTTAAATGGGCTACAATAATTCCAGCTCAAATACAATAGATTTGTTATTCATTTATGGGCCATGAAAAGGTTTTGCTTTGGGTCAATCGTTTACATAAATTAACATTGCAACAAATTACAAACAATAATTTTGTTTCACAAAATAAATAATTTTATAATTTAAGAAAAAAATATTCAGTAAAAAGCATAATCAAAATTCAATCTTTCAAAATAAAACACACCAATTTTGCAAATTTCTAAATAATTCAACAAAACCAAACAAAGCTATCCAATCATTCACCATACACAAATTACTACATTCTTACTGATCTAAAATTTTCAAACTTTAAAACCAATAAAAAAAAAAAAACAAAGTTATGTACCAAATTTTATTTTAAACACAGAAAAAACATCTTCACTTTAAGTTTCTAATATTATTGTATCTATTCTATTAACTAATTAACACAAGAAACAAAAAAAAAAAAAAATTTACTTACATACTATATTAACACAAATGTATTGACTATATGTTATATAATACATATCTTATAATATAAAATCCCGCACGTACGTGCGGGTCCGGACCTAGTTAAATGTAAAAAAGAGAAGAAAGAAGAAAAAGTATTAACAGAACTAAAAAAAATAATTGCACATAACGTCGGTTTATAAACCGTTGCTAAATGACACAAAACCGACGTTATTAATCTGACTTTAAACTTGACGTCGTTTATTGAAGTGACGTTGAAAATATTCACGTCGGCGAATGATACGTCGTTTTTAAAACTGATGCTAATATATTTACTTCGGTTTATAACCGACGTTAAACTTAAGTATAACCGACGTTAGCATACCTTCTTTCTTGTAGTGTTGGCAGCAACATTTTTGCAATTTCAAATTGGTGATGGGGAACATGCTCTTTTTTTTGGCTAGATATATAGCACTCAATGGGATGGCTAATGGACATGGTGATTGAAACCGGTCCTCATGATTTTTGTATTCCAAAATACTCAAAAATGGTAGAAGCTGCAGGTTCGAGTGGCTGGCTGCTCCGGCAACATAGATGGGCTTAATTACATAGTTTGTTTAGAACGCCTCATTGACGTCGAACTTCCTTTTCCATTTGCAGGTCAGGATGTATCCCGCTTGGCCCCTAGAGGTCTATCCACACCGCTAACAAACGGTAAAAGGCCTAAATGGCCTCATCCATAGACTTGTTTGGGCTTTGACAAATAGTTTTTTTTTTTTATGATTTTTCCACGCGCCGACAGATAATTGAATAAAGTTGGAGAAGAAAGTTTTTCACAATTGATATATCATGGTTTTTAGCCATGATAAAAGTATGGTTTTTAGAGTCTCACTTTCTTATTTCTAGAGTCCATTTTGAGTATTTTCAGGTATTTCTATGATCGGGATGCATTTGGAGATAATGGAACGTTTTGGAACAAAAACCAAGAAGTTAAGATGAAGAAGTGAATCTAGAGCCGATTAAGGGTGTGAGAGTCAGCAATCACCATTTCAACTTTAAGATCATTTAGGGTTGTTATTTTGTTTCCAGCAAATTTCTTCTTCTAATTTTAACATTTGCCCGAAAATGGATGATTATATGTAAATTTGGAGAAATTATCCAACAATTGTTGATAGTCTTGATGCTCCTGATTAGGCGGAGGAGGCGGTTGATGCTCCAGTGGAAGAGGCTGTTGGTACTCCAGAATTGGAAGAGGCGGCTGTTGTGGATGAGGATTCTGGTACAGTGGCGGAGTTTGAGAAGCTTGATGTGGCTTACGAAGAGGTCGTTGTTGTAATGATGGTGGATATTGAGGCGGAATCCTCGGTCGAGAAACCGATGCAGTCTCGTAAGATGTCGGGTTGGAGGAATCATCGGCCAACCAACAGTTGATGTGAAGGTTTTTTGTGAACATATCAAACTTACACATAATACTTGCTTAGACTACTATTGACAAACGACAGTTTAGTTGCTAGAAGTGTCATTTCATATATAGTTATTTCGTATGAGAATATGATAATTTTATATTCGTGTTTTGAGTTCAAGAACAACTTCTAATAGATTCTTGTTTAATTATCTTTTTATTGTCATGAACCCTCTTGATTCATTTTTCCCGATATTTTTATTAAATGATTTTATTTATCAATTGAACACTGAGTTTCAGAAAACTCTTTTGCATCCTAGCCATATTTAAATCAATACAGTTCACCGTGTATTCACTTGATCCATGTGGATTCGATTCCTAAATACTATCGCAATTGTTATTGTGTACTTGTAGTATTTTATTGAAGTTAAAACCTTTTTTGTAACAACATGCAATGATAAATTACTTTACAAAGCAAACAACTTTATTCTTGAATACTAATTAGTTTAATAAAATAAAATAAAATAAAAAGAACATAATTGATATGCAACTGTTACATTAGTTTTCTGGAGTATTAGTACCCACTTTATTCTTGAATACTAATTAGTTTAATAAAATAAGTTTTAAAAAAAAATATTGATATGCAACTCTTACATTAGTTTTCTATAGTATTAGTATCCACTTTTTTCCATCCAAGTAGGCGGTACCCTGGTTTAATTTTATTATGCTCATAGTAAATTCCATCAACTTTAGCAATCCATGAGCGAAACCCATGTATACATGGGGGAAGTCTTGATCCTAATTCTGCCATAAGATCATATGCATAAGGTTGTTTTGTAGGCCAGTGAACAATGTGACATACCCATATATCTTGTCTTCTTTTTTTGTTGGCAAAGATATTTTGTCTTCTTTGGCCAGATGAAAGTAAATAATTCTCATTGAATTTCAACCAGTGGGTGGTGTTTGGTGAATCACTGCATCCAACTTTTAGAATACGACCTGGACCGAGTCTGTTTTGAATTTCTACCTTCTGATCCCAGCAGTTAGATGCCTCACGCAATCCAAAATACATAGCAATAAGAAAAATGAAACCTAAGAGATTATTCATTTTTTTGTTTTGAAGTAAAATATTTTTTCGATTAATATGAATCTAAAGATTGAAATAAACATAATTTATAGAGTTTTGTTGGTAAAAATTGGTTCACTATTATTGAATATTTCTAATGGCGTAACTAAATTTAACACAAAATTAAAGGATGGAGTGAATTTAGTGTCGATAAGTTAGGCTGACCAGAAGGATCAAACCAAATAATTTCATTTTACAAATTTTATCTCACCACAAAAAAAGAAAAAGAAAGAGAAAAATAATCTATATCTAACAAAAATAGTGGAACGAAGTGTATTGTTTTACAATATCTTTTAATTACTAAGAAACATATTTCTCGATCATAACAACAAAATAATTGCAACAAGTACAATTTTACAAGAACCAAAATATAAATTGACAAAAATTTAAATTCTATCTTTTTTGTAATAGCAAAATATATATATTTATACCATCTAAAATAATACGGGAAAAATGTCGAAAAATGCGCCAACTTTTAAATTTGGGACGATTAAAGCATGAACTCTCGAAATGTCTCTTTAATCACAAAGTTTCTGTTGACCTATCTGAAAATAGCTAAGTTTTCGTTGACCTGGCCAAATTAGGCATCGCGTTAAGTCCCCGTTAGAACGACGCTGACGCTGTTAACAATCCGTTACAAGTCTCCGTTGGATCAAAACGACGTCGTTTTGAAGTTTTCAAACGATGTCGTTTCACCAAAAAATAAGAAAGAAAAATGGCATCTTCAAAGATTCGAATTGCTGACCTGTTACCCTAAATAGTACGTGTATATATACTAAAAACTGGCAACATATATTAGGTAAAAATATATGCAACTAATTTAAAATAACAAAATTAAAAACAAATTAATAACCAAACATATACGAATATTAAATATACTTACCTTAAATATATATTTCAAAATTTTAAATATATAATTATATATATATAAAGATTTTATTCTATTTTGGAAAATTATTCTTTCCTAAATTATAAAAACCTAAACTTATTTGTGTTTAAACCTAAACCTAAATATGATAAGTATATTTAATATTTGTATTTTTGGTTATTATTATTTTTTAGTTTTGTTATTTTTAATTAATTGCATATATTTCTAATTAATTGTATAATGTTATTTTTAGTATATATATATATATATATATATATATATATATATATATATATATATATATATATATGTTCTGTTTGTTATAACATTAAAATGTTCTCGTAGCTTAATGGTTGAGTGTCTCTTATTGGTGTAACAAGTCAGCAGTTCCAATATTTGAAGATGCCATTTTTCCTTCTTATTTTCTGGTGAAACGACGTCGTTTTGAAGTTTTCAAACGACGTCGTTTTGATCTAACGGAGACTTGTAACGGATTGTTAACAGCGTCAGTGTCATTATAACGGGGACTTAACGGGATGCCTAATTTGGCCAGGTCAACGAAAACTTAGCTATTTTCATATAGGTCAACAGAAACTTTGTGATTAAAGAGACATTTCGAGAGTTCCTGCTTTAATCGTTCCAAATTTGAAACTTGGCGCATTTTTCGACATTTTTCCCAAAATAATACCACTCGTCTACATACACTCATTTTATTAAATATGTTCAAATTAGATGAAAGGATCTGGCAATTAGTAGTTCTCTCTCCAACAGTATGATGATTTCTTCAATCAATAATGACCTGCAAATAGCTTATAAGGAAGATGAGGAGTTTTGGAAATAGAGAAGCCGTCAACTTTGGTTAACTTTGGGTGACAGAAACACAGGTTATTTCAATGCTATAATAAAAGGAAGAAAAACAGTAAAAAAGTTCTCTGTCATAGAAGATGATTCGGACCAGAGCTTCTATAGAGAGGAAAAAATCATTGAAGTCATCTCAGACTACTACAATAACTTGTTCAAATCCCAACAAGGCGAAGGAGCCACTACCATTAGAGAGCTCCTCTCTTCCTGCTGATATGAGTCAAATTAACTCCTAGAACTAGTCTTTCAAATAAGAGATCAATTGCAGCACTTAAGGGTCGAATTC